CCCCACAAAACCCGAACCCTAGCCTCTCGCCCATGAAGCGTCACGCTTACCACTATACCAAGCCGCCGTTGATGAGTGAGTTGCTTCCATGTAATTCAAGTTTTCTCATGTAATGTCACCTAAATCCACCCTCATACTTCGTTCAGAGAATCGCTTGGCAGATTTGGAAAGCGGATTTGAATTCAGCGCCTAAAAACACGTCTAGCAGTATAGGTCTTATTTCAAATGGACACTTCGAGTTGGGATCCTTCCCTGGTAAGAGATGACTTCCTCGCCGTATGTTTCCACTAGCTTGGTATGGGCTTCCTTTGCATTCCAGCCGAAATCGTGACACAAAATCAGGCTGTGGCGCAGGTACATTCTGTTACAGTGGTAATTGTAAGGCATTGAAACCATCAAATGTGGGATGGGCGAGCCATAATGAGTGTGATGAAAGCATATTGTGCACAGGTTACGCACACGTGATGACGATATACCGTTGACATTGGAGCAGACTATTTTTGAAGCAGCTGAATATCATAGCAAGAATACGGCAGAAATAGTTTTGAAGCCAAGTTTTCATCACACGATGGCCTATATAACATCAGATAGCATTCCCCACGGGGAATCTAACAGTGTGCACTTTAGTTGCAAGAAGGCCAGGAATGATCTTACGATTTGGGCATAACGAAGAGTGAAGTTTGGGGTTATATCAAAGAAGGAAATTTGACCTATCATGAGGTGTACCATGGCAATCTTGTGAAGAACAAAGAGTTGTCTACGACAGTGGAGTGTCTTCGACGTTGCTCCTTAGATTTCCATGATATATCCTTTCAAAGAACGGAAGATGCCGAAAGCTCTACTCATTCAATTTACAGGAAATTTATGTCATATTCTCAATAGGACATTTAAGGCGTAGTGTTGATCACAAACAGTATAGAAGCAGAAAGATAAGAAATGAGACATTAGACACTCCATATTAGAAATAAACAATGGAGATTGGAGCAATTATTTTCACTTTGTACTGTGTAAAGTTAAGTACGTGGCACATTCTAGAGCGAATTCGCGAAGCGTGGCGCGCGCTAGGGCAAACTCGCGAAGCGACACCTCGCCTGCCATGACCGCTACAAGCGAAGACCTTCTCAAGTCCAGTGTTTAATTTACTTGGTTTGTTCCATACTTATTCCAACATACTGCGTAATCGCGCTCAGAATACGCTCATTTCACACACGCCCCGCCCCGCCATTCCCCATACGCCGCCCGCGTGCGGAATGCAGTTCAGTCGATTTCTACCGCATAGCATCAGTGTGTCAATCATGTCGTTCGTACCCCTTCCAAATTCGAAAGCTCTGGATCAACGGGAATAGGAGTCATGAATTTCCCCTGAAGCACTTATTTTCGCATACACATCCCCCCCTCTGGAAGGGATTCAATCCTGACACCTACCATTGGGGTTCTCATCCTACCTCCTGTACTCCTACCAAGATTGAACACCTTAGGGCCCAATAACTAATTTGCGTCCATGCCCCACCCCCTGTAGGCGGAGTCTAATTCAGCTACCTATCATCAGAGTTCTCATCCTGCCCCTCTACCCCTACCAATTTCGGGTGCTCCGGGTCTTCGGCGTCAGGAACTATGAATCACCCTCAAAAACAGAAAATCCACGCACCCCTCGCGCTCTGCGGACGAAGTTTATTCCTGCCACCCACCGTGTTTCCATCATACCGTTTGCACTCCTGCCAAATTCGAGGCCTGTAGGTCTAAGAGGGCGGGAACTCATAAAAATAGGACACACACACGCACACACACACCCACAGACATACACACAGACATACAGACACGCACAAAACACGTTTAGCGCTTTATTTATATACCGGTTGGGCTATGCACACAAACGCGTGCACCATGTCATGCCCACTACCGCTTACCTACGACTTGTTAGAGGACCAATATAAAAAGTATCGGTAGACTTCCCTTTCCATAACCGCTTTCCCATCAGGTGATATTACCCAATTTGAACGAACTGATGCAGCTTTGCGGGTATTGATCTCTTGACACTAATATGTGATCGCAGAATTGTTTCCATTCTGACCTTCTCGAGTTCCTAGGGGTTTGATGATCCTGCGTCGTGGGGGTCGAGTTGTGCCTTTTAGTCTGTGACGTCATAAATAGACTGGACATTGAGCAACGGACCAATATAAATGAGAAGCATCGATTGACTTACCATTTCATAACTGTTTTCTCACCGCGCTCTTGTGATTTTCACGCTCTTGATCGTGCCTACGTGACTTTTGGGAGGACACACAAACGGGCATACAAAAGGACACACCAAGCTAGCGCTTTATATATAGAGGATAGTAGCATACTTTGAGGTGTCTGTTGACAGAGCTTGACGAACTGAGAGGTATCTTTAGCTTCCGGAATACCCCTTTCTGAACCGATTTACGGAGAAATTACGAAAAAGACGAGTTTCTACTGTAACTAGTGCACGACTTTCTGTGTGAATTCTAATATATCAAAAATCCATATCATTGAGGGAGCTGCGAGCTGTGGGAAAAGCGCACTAGAATTACGTAGTATGCCATTCCTTACACAAGCGTCAGTTTTGACAACAACCGGCCATCATGTCTCCGCGAAATAGCGCTATTTCGAACAGAAACATCTGAGGAAGTTCCGATAGGAAGTGAACTGAATCGAGGTCGGCCTATTGAATGTCTGGCAGTGGAACATGAGCGTAATTAATTCACCGATGAGCTTTCGTCAAGATTCATATTGCTGTGAGCGTGAATATTATTCTTAGAGCTGCCGAGACCACCATATTGTTCTTAAAGCTGTCTGACCACCTCACCACTTTAATATGCGCCACGTATCCAGCTCGTGTACGGATTTATCGTTGCGTGGGTATAAGGCCCGATGACTTGCAGATGCTAGATGGTTATTAGACTAGTTCATGCAGGAACACTTACGATATACAGTCTGCAGCATTCTCAAGTCATTAAGCGTTTCCTACAAGGTGTAGCGTAGGCAGATCAGCAGCTTGTTTTGTTCCATCACCCATCAGTTTATCACTTTAATGTTCATTGTGTACTACACAGAGTTGACTGTTAACAAAAGCCTCGCCCTTCCGTCGTTTCACAAAAAATCTTTGTTTCTACGGTCTTTTATTCGTTCACTCACTTTTGAACGAGTGCAGAGCTCGAATTTCCCGAATGTCCTCAAAACCACTTCAAAATTTTCCCAAGGTATTCAAACGAGACCCTTTCCATACGTTCATTTAGACAGATTAAAAGAAAGCTTCGACCGTCGAGGGGTCGCTACCCTCCTTGGTCTTCTGTTTTAATAGCTTGAATAGGATCTCATACGTGGATCAGTTGTGAAAAATTCCCTGGGATATTGAGGCTTATTTCATATGGTAAGACTAGTGGACATTAAAAAGCCTATTTCAATGTTTTTGCACTCTTTTAGTGCATGCAGTCGGATTCAATTTATGACGGAACAGATATAATCTTAGTTTAGATCCCTGCAGCCCGAGTCATCTTGCAAATGACATGGCATTGTCGGTGTTAGAGAAGAAGTTCGACGATTTAGAGCCACTCGCTCGATCTCACAGCAGTGGAATTGAAGATGGAATTGCAAATAACGATCTGTCTGAGGTAGGGGTCTACTACTCACGACTAACTCTAAGGTTTTCATAAGCTCTCACGGCAGAGAAAGATGTATGCTACAGTTGTTTATTCTCTCAAGTAGATTTATAATACACTTGTCAAGGAGACTAGATTGACAAGGGCATCTACTGAACAACTTCTTTGAATTGAATCTGTTATTAGGAGTAATATCATAAATCTTTCCTTCAGGGAAGGGTGTCGCAGTAGCCATTAAATATGAGATGTTAAGCACCGTAAGTCTTTCCAAACGCTCATTTCAAATCTGCGCTCTGATCTGCGAAACGATTCTGGGAACAAAGTTACTATGATAATTCCGGGTCTTGTTGGTGTTCTGCTGCCACGCGGGACTTCTTTTAGCTTTATTGAATTGAAGACCGAACGAACAGGAGCCGGAGGAAGTGGATGAATGTACTTGTAGAAAGAATGAACCTTACTTCCTCTATCGCTCCTAAATACTGAATGATACGAGAACATGATAAACACCGGATCGTTTTGAACTATCCTAAATAACAATCAGTCCTACGTCATTCTTGATAACACATGCTACGCTGGGTATAGAGGCATCTCTATACTCCCCGCCACTAGAAAGATGATCGTCGTCGCTGTCGTTTGCTTCTTCTTGTGTCGCTGAGACTGGCTTCGGTTTTTGTAGTCGTCGTCATCATCATCGTCGTCGTAGTCGTCGTCTTGTGCGTGTGCAATCGTTCTTGCGGAAGGAAAACGGTAGTTGTTTCTCTCATCAGTGATTTGGTAGAATGTCCATGGAATTGAGGATTTTGAAAGCATCCTTTCAGTAAAGTATTTTGCCGGATTTGCGTTGTTGTAACTTGGTCTGTGATTGAGTTCGTCCACGGTGTTGAAGTTTCAGGAGGCACTTCGTGCAAAGAGGGTTCTGGTGGGAGTTGGATGGTCGTGGTTTTGTTGGTGACTGAGGAATGGATTTGGGTGGGTGAGGCTACCATTTGCAACAGAATGGTAGAAGTGGGTGAGGGTGTGAGTGGAAGGTTGACTGTTATAGAAGAAGGGACAGCCCTTGTGGAGGTACCTTTTTCGCAAGGGCGAGGACGTAGATTGTATCGGGGTTCAGGCGAGGATACAGTTGTAGTTGACTCTATTTGTTCTGATGAACTCGTATCTCCCAATTCTAAGGGAATTACCAAGTTCACTGGTCTGCGAGTCGTGCGACCATTTGACATTCGAAGCCCTACATCTCTGATGACGTCGTTGTGAGAGTGGTGTATCTTCGTAATTCTGCCGTTTTCCAGGTGCTTCGTGGCGCCGAGGGCTCGGCAATCAACACTACGTTCCCGACTGATGGGGTTTTTGGAGTACCGCATTTATTGCTGATGTGAAGTTTGTGTGATTCACGCTAGGCGGTCAGATGTTGCTGACTCTAAATTCTTCAGAAGTGTTCTATCAACTGATGACCTGTTTTAAGTGCTTCTTACGTCTGTTGTCGAGTTTGTAGTATCACGGCACCATCTGCTGGAAGATAATCGTGGTCCGTCTTATCCTCTTCACTACATTCACATGGATACGTTACAACCATGTCACGTTGAATGAAAACTATCGGACGTAGTGCTGGTGTTTCATTCCATTTCTCTTCTTGATAAGTGAGAGGTATGGTATTGACGCAACCTTCGATCTCCACTAATAGCGTTTCGAGGGTTTTCTCATCTGGAATCTTCCGTTGCACAACTTTGTAGAGACTATTTTGATGGATTTGATCATTTTCTCATAGAAACCTCCCTGCCATGGAGCATACGGTACGATTGTTTTCCATATAATTCCTCTGGTGGCCATTGATTGAATGAATGAAGCGTCATTGATTGTAGGTGAAACCTTATCATGAAGAATTTATTCTGCCAGAATGAAGTTGGAACCATTGTCTGATGTTATGGTGGTCGGAACTCCGCGTCGAGCAAAGAAGCGGCGTAATGCCATCAGCGAGTTGTTTGTGCTCATATCTGGTACCTGTTCCAGGTGAATAAGCCTTGTCGTTGCGCACGCCAGGATAATTCCGTAGGCCTTTGCAACTTCATCGTTTTGCTTTATCGACAGATTTCCAAAGTAATCAATTCCAATGTGTTCGAATGGTCTTGTTCTGCGTCGCTGCTCAAGGAGATCGTCCATTTCCGGGTATCGATAGGGAGGATTGTTTATCTTCTGGCACGGTAAACATCGTATTATCATTGATCGAACCATTTGTCTGAGTTTTGGAATCCAAAATTGTTGTCGCACATTTGCTATGGTGTGTGCCATACCGCAGTGTAGTGGTGAACGTGCACTTTCCACAACTAATCGAGCGAGTACGGTTTTAGTGGCGATGAGGTAGGGATGTTTGGGGTTCATAGATAGACCAGAATTTCCTAAACGTCCTTTGCACCGTAAGATTCCAGGTTCAACCTTCTCCACCTTCAACTGTTTCAAGGCTGCTTGTCTTTCTGCAGGCAGATGGTCTTTCTGATGATTTCGAACAAGAACTCTTAGACTCGCCTCCATTTTTGTAGCAGTGATGTATTTCAATGATTCTGCGTACCATGCGTCGGGAATGTTGTTTTCCAACTTCTTCTTGAAGTGGTCCTTCACGTGAGCAAGTAATTTCTTTATGAAACGCAAGACGTATGCTAGTACTCGTTGGCATCTTTCGTGATTACTGTGTCGTTTCCAGTCGAGTAGTTCCGCAGTACTATTGTCTGTTCCAGCGGCCAATATACAAGCATCTTCGCTGTTGTTCAGCGGCAGACTGAACAATCTGCACTCCTGAGGCCACTGTCCTATTGGGTACGAGTTCAGTCCTCTCGTTGCACAGTCGGCTGGATTATTTTTGGTCTTCACATAGCCAAAGCGAACCGGAGGAAGTAGTAGAGAAACTACCTGTTGTATTTCACGATCTCGATTGCGTACTAACACGCCGGTGGATGAATTGAGTTGTTTTGAAGATATCCAAATCAGAGCGATTTCTGAATCCGATAGAACTGCAATTTCTCGTATATCCAGCCGCTCTCTTATTGCTTTATATATAGAGAACATCAAACGCACTGCCATTGTCAAGGCGTTGAGTTCCATCTTGGGAATCGTAGGTATTTCTTTTACTGACGGCGACTTGGGTTTTTCTGCGGCTAGAGCTGATCCGTTGTTCGATGTAATGTATGCGCATGTGGCCATACCAGCGTTGCTGGCGTCGGAGAATACCACGAGCCTTACTCTATCGTTGATTTGCGTAATTCTCCTGTTGATTTTGCAGTGGAAGCCATTTACTTCATCAACAATATCTTTCCACTGCTGTTGATGTTCATGAGAAAGTATTTCGTCCCAGCTGTAGTCGCATTTCCATAAATGTTGCAGAAATCGTTTTCCATGAAGTGTAATGGGTGTCATCCATCCGAATGGGTCATAGATGGAGGCTACCTATTCGGAAATAGAGCGTTCTGTAATTTTTTCTCGGGGGGGGGGGGATACTCGCAAGTCAGAATTAGCTCGTCTTGACTCGAATTCCAAAGTATCCCGAGAATTTTTTGAGTATTACTTCCGCTCAGATCTTCCTTGCTTATTTGTCGTCTGAGTTTTTCATCGTTAGAGACGAATTTTTTGAGGTTCATTCTCATATCTCCGAATATGGCTTTCGAGTTTTTGTATAGGTGAATTGCTTTCGTTGTAGATTTTGCCGTCATTATTACAATGTCGACATTCAGTAGCGCTTAAAAGTCTTCGGTGAAATGGTTCTTCAGTCGTTCTTTTCAGTCGCAACTCCTTCTTACTGGATCTAATCATGCAAAATTTCTATATTTGGAGCGTGGGTGGATTGTGAGTATTTACCACTATTAACTTGCAATCTGATCATGTTCCAGATATTCCAAAGAGTATGAACTCAAAATCGACTGTCAATACAGATGATGGTCCTTCTGGAATTTCTTTCCTTTTTGTCGTGACTATAGGTACGAGCGGTAATGCCGAACACAATGAATGAGAAAAACGCTTGTACGGTGAGAATAAGTGGTGACGTCAACAACTTTACTTTTAGCAAAATCTGCTACCGCAACAAACTTTGCTCTATCTGTGGATATGGCAGCTTTGCAGTCAAATAATGTTGAGTAGGGTGAAATATGCTCTAGTAAAACATATCCAAATTTCTCGCGATTTGGTTCACTAAGAAAAAAGTTATGAATGAAAAAGCGTCAATGCATTTCACCGAAGACTTTTGAACGCTACTGTATGTATTGTTCAGTATTTCGTGAGAAATTCCAGGATTTTTCGAATTATGTTTAAGATGGTATTTGATCGTTCTGGCAAGGAGAAATGGCGAGCATATTAATCCGAAAGTGACACGATTGAAGGGGTATGTGATGAGGTTATCTCGGATCACTGGTTGATTCACGTCTTTCATCCACAGAAAACGAGTTGCATCTCTGTCTTTCAACTGAAGTCTCACTTGGAGAAAGGCTTTTTCGATATCACTAGCAACAGCTAAGTCTCCAATTCTGAATCTTACAAGGGAAGGATCCCAAGTCGAAGTGGCCATTTGAAATGAGACCTATACTGCTAGACGTATTTTTCGATGCTGACTTGAAATCTGCATTCAAAATCTGCCAAACGATTCTCTGAGCGAAGTTATGGAGGTGGTCTCCGGAGAGCGCTCAACTGGGGAAGAAAGCACAAAAGCCATGGTCGCCGGCATCGTAGCAGTGGCGGCTTGGAGTGGGGGTAAGCGTGACGCTTCACAGGCACGAGACCAAGGATCGGGTTTGATGAGCGGTGGCGTT